GGGCCTGTTTTCCCCCCAACGCTGCAGATGTTGGCTGTGAAGGAAAACAGCAAGAAGCAGCAGCCCTGATTTGATGCCTACTGTGCTGCCCGACACATACCACAAATGAACAACAATACCAACAACAGTAATACAGAGGTTATCTTGCGTTGTGAGTGCCTCTAACCTAGACATCCTAAATACATTTTTGCTGCTCCTTAAGACGGCCCTCCATGACATTTATTACTCCTGGATTGGAAATGAGGGGAGCTCTGAGCCTACTTTCCTAAAAAGGTATGACTTGCTGGAAGTTAACAGCTCTACTGGCATGGTTAGGACTCATAAGCTAAAGTCCTTACAGGCCCCTGGGAACAGCATACGTGACCCCTGCAATAATAGTCACTCTATTAATAATAGCTACAAAAGCCTTGACAGGATTGGACAAAAGTGATTTTCACCCATCCCAGGCATGTCACTTCTTCCAAATTTAGTAGACTCTGGCTGGCTTAGCAGGATTTCATTGACAAGAATGAACAGTTATCTCCCCCTCATCCATGCCTGGCCTTGTCTCTGCTGCAGGCAGCACTTGGAGAATAAATGAATGTAAGGGGTGAGAAAGGCGGGTGTTCATATATATACGAAGTGAATGAGAAATAAACATAGATGTTGACTACAATCTAGAAGAGGCACTTTGGTAACAGCTGAGGTGAGAAAGCACCCATTGCAAACCTTCCCAGGCTGCTCGGGGCCAAAGGCCAGGCCTTCCCACCCTCTTCCTGTTCATGAATGAGTGTCCCTCACAAAATTCTGGCTCTTCTGTTGTTGTTTTTGGAAAACAAATGCTTCTTTCCAAGATTCCCCCTCCCAGTTAATATCTGTGCTCAGGACTCTGAGTCCCTGGACGTATTACTATGGATTTATCCAGGTTTGAGATCTCGATTTCGTGATTTCCTTCCCATCTTCCTGGACTCTCTGGACCCCGCTGAGTTATGACACAAACTTCCACCGGCCTGGAAGTTGCTTAGCTGATCCCACACCATGCCTCAGTCTTCCTCCACGTTCCCCCTGCCGTCAGGATGTGGCTCTCTGTAAATGTAGTTTATTCTCATTGTAGTCACTTCCCAAACCCATTAAAGGAGGAGAAAAATGCCACTGAACCCAACACTAACCCTCCACAGACTGCCCTGTCTCCTCCTCCCCTCCGTGCTCCTTTCTCATCTCAGGAACGGTGTTTAATCCCATCCCCCGCTCTGGGCTCAGGTTCTCAGATTAACTTTTAAAAACATATGCATCCTACCCAGCACACCAAGTTATATCCTCCTCTCCTGGTTATGACACCCACTGTGAGGTCAACAACAAACCACTGCATTCTACGGATACAAAGAAGATCAAAGTCATGTAGCTGAACCCACAGAAGGACACCAGAACAGTCCACCTGTATCGAGTCTGGGGCCCAGAAACTTTGGGGGTAAGTTCTTTCTGTTATATATGAAGCCCCATAGGAGCTACCACCCTGGCTTTGCGTTCCCAACTCTCTGGCCCACCATATTTACATGCAGAACCTGTCCTGTGTGAATGAGCTACTCTTTGCCATAGCATTTAATTAGTGTTTTGATATCTAGGCATGTGTCTTCTTCCTGTTGTGCCTTTGACCGTAAGCAATCTGAGGGCACAGACTGTTTCTGTACCTTCAGGGCCTCTCCAAAGACTCGACTGCAGTGGGAGATCCATCAGTGCTGGCTGCCTATTGGGTCAGGAGAGAAGTTGGTTGGGGCACTAGGAATTGAGAAGACATATAAAAATTTTTGAGAACACAGACACAATAAACTCCTATATTTCCACAGTCCTGGTTAAAAATTGGATTCTCACAACCTCCTAAGAAACATAGGGCAGGAATTCTTATGTCCAGATCACAGATGAAGAAACTGAGGCTCTGAAAGATGAAGTGACATCCCCAAATCACACAGCAAATAAGTGCAGAATCAAGGCTAGAAGTATGGTCTTCTGAGGACTCGTCTACCACTCTATGCCTCCACAATGAAAAGGAAGGAGGGGTAGAAACAACCTAAGTGCCCATAAATGCCTGAATGGATAAAGGAGATATGGTGTATATTCACAGTGGAACATTATTCAGCCTAGAGAAAAAAGACATCCTGCCATTTGCAACAACATGAAGGGGTCTGGAGCACATAACGCTAAGTGGAATAAGTCAGAGTAAGAAAAGTACTGTAAGATATCACTTACGTGTGCAATCGAAAAACTAAACTTGTAAAAACAGAGAGTAAAGTGGTGGTTACCGGAGAACGGAGGATAGGGGAATAGGAGATGTTTAAGAGTATAAACTTGCAATAGTAGTAAATAAGCTCTAGAGACCTAACACACAGTACGGTGATTATAGACAATAATATTGTATTATAATCATCAAACTTGCTAAAAGTCTAGAACTTAATTAATCCAACTACCAAAAGAAGGATAATTACATAACATGATAGAGGTGCTAATTGTTACAACAATGGCAATCATATTATAATATGTAAATGTATCAATTAACATGCTATACACCTTAAATTTACACATTATATGTCAAACATATTTGAATTATAAAAAAGTAAATGCAAAAAGAAAAAGAAGGAGAAAAACTTGGAGATGACTGTGTTATAATATGTCCTTACCCAAAATATCTTACAAATTCAAGTGCAGGTACCATTCAGATAATAATGGTAAGTTCCGACAGGCTAAATGTATAAAGGCACATAAACCCTGAGAGCAGATATGCTCTCAAAGGCATGAGCCTGTGAAAAAACAAGCAGAGACCAGAGGGACCAGAGACAGGCACTACTTGGGGACTGAGTCTGGGAATGAGGAGAAGAAGGTGGTAGAGAAATAAGAGGTGTCATAGGGTGTTCAAAGGACAGAAAGAGATGCTAGGAGAAGGCATGAGGATAGAGAGGTGGAAGGGAGAGGGAAGAAGGGAAGAAAGCACAAGAATGAAAGAAAGATGGAAAGGAGAGCAAAGAGAGAGACAAAGAGGGGAGAGTAGAAGAAGGATACACACTTCTGTGTCTCCAGGTTTCCTGCTAAAAGGATCGTCCTGGGAGACAGAAGCAGTAGCATGGGCATTAGAGTTTTGCTCACCTTCTTTCCGTGGATCAGCCAGCACAGATCAAAACATAGGAAACAAGATACAAATAGCATGAGATTTAGAGAACATTAGATGTTCAAATAAAACCGAGAAAGGAAAAGAAATACATATGTTAAAATTAGAAGGAAGACAGAAGAAAAAGAAGATAAAGGGTTGGCCAAGTTAGGACACCACTGGAGGGAAGCAGAAGCTTCTATCCAAGGCTAAGACTTGGATCATGTTGGCAACAGACGGGAGAACATCGGTGGAGGAGGAGCGGAGGTCCGGAACGAACACAGTGCATGTACTGAGGACAGCAGTAATAGGCGTGAGAGGTCTTACACTAGGAGACAAAGAACACAGCAGTGCAACCAAGGGGGGAAAGATCAGTGTGGTCCTTGTGAAACCAAGACGCTCAAGCTCGTGACCCCAAAACACTGACCTTGTATTGGAAGAATATTTGTAGCTAGTATTTCATGTCTGTGTTTGTTTAATAGTCACGTGTCCACCTGCCATGGAGGTGTTACCTCTCTTCATAAACCTATAAGAGCAGAACCCCCAGATTTTATCTTTCTTATGTAGGGGATTCATAATGATGTCACACATGATGGTATTGGATGAGTAATTTTTGATGCGGACAGTCAATCTGTTGGTAGTGAAGATGGTGTAAGCATAGCCAGGGATGCTAATCAAAACGGTGTTGCCAACTATAAAGATGCTACTGATAGTGGAGAAGGTGATGAAGGCAGGTGATAATAGTGATGCAGAAGGCAACAAAGGCAGAGTTCTGTTAATGATGGAGAGAGTGGAATCATGGTCTTTAGAATGATAAAGATGACCTCTGCAAAGCTGGGTCACCGCTTATGAAATAACACTGTGTGGTGGGGGCGCGGGTGAGGCAGGGAGAGAGAGACAGAGAGACAGAGACAGACAGAGACAGATAAAGAGACAGATCATCCATAGATCACTCATGGTTAAACTAGATTTTTACCTGCCCCAGGACCCTTCCTAGAGATATCTCAAATGGTCAAAGCCAATACCCACCGGTTTGCCCTAAAATATCTGATAAAAATAAAATGCTGAATTTGTGGACATGTTTCCTTTCTCTTTGAAGGTATTTGCTGGATTTAATTTTACAAAGAGACTGTCACCTAGGAATTTCCTGGGGGAGATTCTTAAATTATACATAGACTATATCGTCTAAAAAGGACCTCAAAAGTCATCTAAACTGTGTGGCTTTTAACCAGATGAGGATCAGAACTTCCGGGGATTTTTTTTTCACAATACTGATGCCAGAACCTCATTCCATACCAACCAAAAAAATTAAAAATCCCAGAGAGGGGACACTGGCTTAAAAATTTTGAAAGCATTCTCCAGATGATTTTGATCCACTCTCCTGATTAAGATCCTTCTATTTTACAAAAGAGATGAGTGAAACCCACCATCACACATACTTAGGGACAGAGTCTTCTGTCATTCTCAGAGCAAGTATGGTGTTATTCTCCCTGCATGCTGCTGACCTGATCAGCATGGCTTGCTGTCTATTCTCATTACTGCATTCACTCTATAGAAATACCTGGCAGTGTTGGAACCCAAGAAAAGAGAGAAATGAGGTATGATGGAGAAATAAAGAAGCTGGATCAGGGCAACATTTGACTTCTCATGGAGCACATCCCAAGTGGAGCTCTGAGGTGAAAGGATCTCCCAAATCCAGCCCCTCCCCATACCCCAACTCTCTTCCCTGTCCCACCCATATCATTGCCCAATCCTTAGGATCCCTGGGGAGTCAAGTATGATTTCGACTCCACAAAATCCATGTCCCACCTGACCCTGTTCCCAAATTATTCATATCCACTCAGCCCTCAGAAGGCCCCCAAACCCAGGAGAAACATGCTCGTACTTTCTTGGTAGGAACTTTGATCTTCAAGAATTCTGCCTCTCTGGCCAGCACCTGCCACGGGGCATGTATCCGGACAAAGATGGATCCTTGGCTTTTACTCTGTAAGGTACAAAGGAAGAAGAAATGGAAACACTTATAAGGATATAGCTCAGATGTCTGGCTCCCCAGCTTTCCCAAACTAGAAGCCCCAACCTGCTGTTTCTTCAGTTTCTGGTTTTTCTTCTCTTTAAATCTCACCAGAAGCCAGTCCCCTCTCACCCATACCCCATCCAGAAATGCTCTCATCAAAACCCACAGGGTTGTGTTCCCAAAGTATGGTCCCTGGGGTTTGGTGGCTTCAAAGGGAAAAAAGAGCTAAAACCATAGTGTTCACAGATGGAATTGTGAGCAATTGTGATCGCAGAAATCCCATTATCTCTTGATGGCATTTACTTGGTTTACCTCTCCCAACATTCAGTAAACAGCCTGCAGTTTGTCTGCACTCACATATTTTCATTGTTTATTGTTAAGTTTGTATTTTTGCTCTACTATTATGCCATGTCATAGCCTGAAATCACAAAAGTGGTTCACCTAAGCCTAAAAGTAATGATATAAATAATAATTTAAGTAGTACAACTCAAAATAATTTCAAATGTAAATCATAATCAGGGCTCCAAAGTGAATATAGAGTATGAATCTACGTCCCAGCACAAGCAATTCTGCGAGTGTATTGATCTCACCCAAAAACGAGAAGGAAGGAAGGAGAATACAGTGATGAGAATTTGAATATTAAGTCTTATTAACTTAGCAATCCATTTGGCCCTGGATTCGGTGTCTGTTATAAAAATCGGTCAGATTATAACATGAAGCCATTAAATTCTTCTCATTCTCAAATAAAACCTCAAAATTCTTTTCAGAAAAAGCACATACAGGAAAAAAATACTTTCTGACATTAATTCAATTAATTTTATCACTAAAGAATGAAAGAGACCAGAACAAGGAGGAAAAACAGGCAAAAGCTTCATCATTTGTGAGAAGCTTCTAACTATCTGCAAAATTAATCACAAGCACTGTGTCCACAGAGAAAGTTGAACAAAACAATAGCAAAATTCCTTCATCAAATGACTGTTGGAAGTCACCTAAAACCCATGCACCGCAGTGGGAAGATGCTGGTGTCCTGACCAAAATGCCATTTACATTCGGACACAGCCTCTGAGGGGCAAAGTGGGACTCGGGACATAGAGTATACTATACAGAGAGAAGTCCTTGCAGCTTCTTGTTCCATTTACCCCCTGAAAACCCATGCTACAGAAAAAAGGAGGTTTTTATTGCATTACTGTATTTTTTTGTGAAGCAGAATGCATGGAGACCTGAACTGAGAAGGCACCAACTCTGTGTACAGCAAAGGTGTCACTGTTCACATAAAAGCACTTGTCCCTTTTGAAAATCATTCCCCATCTTCATCCACAAAGACCCGTTGGTGGTCAACAACATGCCCTCCGTTCTTGGTTTAGTATTGAAATAATAGTGGAAGCCAACCACACACAGCCTCCGACCATCTGCCCTTGCAGCATGCCAGGCAGAGAAATAGATGACAAGGAGAACACTCCTCTCCCTACTGAAGTACGCTGAGTATGACGGGGCTCATACGTTTTTAAAGTGACGAATAAAATAAAAAGATATCTTATGATGCTCCTAATGCGAGTGAAGACTACTTCTACAATTTTGAATGGCGGTTCCACAATACATTCAGTAATTCAAACATCCAGAACCTAACTCCGCTTTGGGAATGAAAGCTGATGATTTTACAAGGGAGAAGAATGAAAAAGAAACCAGGATTTCATGGCAAATTGAACTATGGTATAAGTCTGGGATAGTCTAAAATATACGAATACCTAAAAAGAATAACAATAACAGTGATGCTTATTTACTGAATGTGTATCATGTGCCAGGACGGAGCCAGGTAGTGATGTGCTCATAGAATCGTCACAGCCATGCTGTATAGCAGGCACTATCACCATCTCTATTTTACAGTTGTGGAAATTAAGGCAGAAAATTTTTAAGTAATTTGTCCAAAGTTACATAGGTAGTATGATTTAAAAAAAAAAAGTATTTGAATCCCGGAAGTCTACGCTCTACCTGATTATTTTTTCCTCTCATCAGAGACAGATATGACATGTTATTGAGCATAGTTAAAAACCACATCCAAGGGTTGCAACGGAACATAAAGACATGCTTTTCAGTCAAAAATTGAATCAAAGGATGGATAAGGAATCCATGAGGCAGTCCTAAGATGAAACACTCAACCTTCCAGCTGCCAAGTGGTCATAGTTATGACAAAACACTGGAAGTGGACTTCGACAAGATGTCTCCCCAGTTTCCATATCCATCTATGGTTGCAATATCCAGGACTACTAGGCAGAGTCATCAATCATTTGCTGCTACTTTTAACTGTAATTTCAGCTTTTCTAATTTAGTGAAAATAAAGAATAAGAAAAGGAATCATCTGTGAAACTGACCTGCAGGTCAGTCCTCCATCATGGCCCCAGAAACAATGTTTTTGGTGAAAATGGAAAACAGTACCATCCCTCTCACTATGATGAAATCATGATTATTACCGATTTTAATATATTTTGTTTGGTTTTATTTTTAATTTGTGATGAATGCTTTTATTTTTTATTTTATCTAGAATCAGTGGCTCAAGTGTGTACCAAATGTCCATTAAGTCGCTGCAGATGTTTAAAGTTTGAGAAAGGGTTGGGCGGGCCAAGGTCAAATCCCATGGACTTACTGGCAGACTGTTAGCTGTCCCCTGACAGCCATTCGCATTTTCTTCATTTTTTAACTAAGCATATGGCTGTCCAAAGTGAAGACTATATCCCCCTTGCAGTTAGAAGTGACCATAATACTAATTTCTGGCCAATGCGGTATAGGTGAAAGTATTGTAAAGCAGTTTCTGGCCACTCTCTTCAGAGACAGCAAGTAGATGCCTTTTGCGCCTTCATCTTCCCTATCCCTGATCTACTGCCTGGAACATGCATATAAGCATCTTAGACCTTGAGGTCAAAGTCAAGGCCAAAAACAGCAAAGTGTCAGGAGTTCTGACTCTATAGCCTGTCAGTGCAGCTCTGGGCTGTCTCCTGGATTTTTATGTGAAAGGTAAAATTTTACCTTGTTTAGCCCATTGTGGTTTTTAGATTCTCTATCAATTGCAACCCAACCTTATACGAACTAATGCAAAAGTGTCCCCAATGTGGTGCCATTAACTGCCTCCAGCAAAGCATGCTTCTTCTCCATTATCCTCAAATGGAACTTGTTTCAGATGAAAATAAAAGCTGGAATACAATTTTGTGGTGCTAATATCTAGCCATCATGTTCCTTTTATGCCATGTAATATTGTTACCTTCTCATAGAAAAGAAACTGGAGAACCGATGTGAAATATTAGCTGGTGTGACTGGCTATGTCTCCCAAAGAAAAAAACAAAAACTTCTGAGCAGAACTATCACCAAATGTAGAAGCTCTTTTTACTAAACCGGGAATCTAAAATTGGAGGTTAACATAGTTTGAGCTAAAAAAAAA